AAAAAGTAAACTTTCACAAACTAAGGATTATCTAAATACATGTAAAACTCCATTACAGTTGCAGGACTCACCTGATCTTAAGTCTTCCATTCTCTGTTGACGTCCCGCGAATCATATTAAACGGTAGAAATAAAATATCAATCCAAAAACTCATGGAGCAGACAGAGTGAGCAGCTGCGCATGGAGACCTGATGGAGACCCGCTCAAACTTCTTCTTCTTTGGTGTTTTTTGGCGGTTGGCAAACCGACCAGCTCAAACTGACGTGGGTGTTTCAAATTTGAACGACAGGCGCGGACAGTTCTCATTGGCAGGTTTCTTCGATGACGTTTATATTAACCAATCACATTAAAAGCAATATGTGAAGTAGCCAATTGCAATTTGTTTCTGTCAAAAGTAAAAATATCTCACATACTCACATAATGCGCAGAATTAAGTCATTTAATAAATGAACTTAAATAAATCATGTATATGTGTGTGTGTGTGTGTGTGTGTGTGTGTGTGTGTGTGTGTGTGTGTGTGTGTGTGTGTGTGTGTGTGTGTGCGCGTGTGTGTGTCATAGACGGTGTGTGTCCTTGTTTACAAATCAAATGTATTTCAAACAAGGACTACCTGAAGAATGTCTCTATGTTCAATTGCAATAAATGTAATGAATTCACCATGCACAGTCCACAAAAATGCAATATCAATCCCCATACCCCCAGTTCAGTGCTTCTCAAAGTGTGGTCCGTGGACCACTGGTTTTATAATCTGTTCTAGAAAAACTATGTGTTTTTTTATATTTGTGGAGTTAGGTGGTCCTCGAGTGTCTTTTTATTGGTATGGTCCGTGGTCCCTGTTGTGATCGGGTCAAATCTGACCGATTTACGACTTTCATCAATCATAAGTAGACAGTAGACATATGAAAATCGAACATATGAAATCGTTGATCACCACTTTCATTGAATTTTGGATGATTTGGTCAACTTTGTAACACCCATGGTGTTCCCGGTCAAAAATGACCGCCATAAAGAAAAGGAATTAGTAACCATCCGGATCAGATAAAACACACACACATACACATAAACACACACACTAGATGTGTCCCCCCACCCTTATGACACAAACACACAGTTTATGGAGAGTACGGCAAACACAAGTTGTAACAAGCAGTAGCGCTGAGCAAAGTGACGAGAAGGCAACCACACACTTGTAAAAAAAAACACACTTTATAAAGTCAGGCAATACTAACCAGGCTTCGTGTGATTCTATTTATTTGTACCTTACTTTGACCATCCGTTCGCTGTTATTGATCATTGTGGAGATATACAGTGCAATAAGCTTCTTAGTGCAATAAGAAGCTACAGGGACGTTAATCTACGTCGGTAATATTGACTTTATTTAATACAACATTTACGGTACAAGATTTAATCATACAGCCCATGTAGTATAATATTTTACAAATGATGAATTACAGCAAACATGTGCAATATATCCATTATTACAGCTCCGTGGGATGGCCGTAAGGGGTCCATTCTTATTGTGCATCCATGGGTAAAGATCATAGATAAACACATGTAGTACTGAACACATAACATGAACGTGCCGGGCGTTCATAATGCAGAGGGAAATAACTCTCAGAATAACGTTATTAGCACATTTTACAACTTGATGTCCGAATGTTTTTAACAAGGGCTATACAAACGTTCATACCGGGTAGTTTATTTAGTTTCAAAAAAATTATCCAACGATTTACAGACCACTCTTTCCCAATGTAAGTCAATAGGAAAAAGTGTTTCCGGGCCCAGCAACCTAACAGAAGTGTAGTACCGCCTATTGGCCACATCGAATATTTTCCTCCGAGTCCGGCACACTTCCTGGGGGCTTTTTACAGCAGGCCAGGGGGTTCATTTCACAACGGGGGTGCATAATTTGACACAACACCGGTACTGGAGGAGTGAAAGGCCTGAGCCAGAGGGTGTTTCTCAATGTCGAGTACGCTTGCTTGGTAGCACATGTCTTCCGAGTCACTTGCTTCAGAAGCGAGGCAAGAATACTTCCTGGCATTCGGAAACGAAGAGTGGAACAGGCGAGCAAGTGTGCAGGTGTGCGAGAGGCCCCGCCTTACAATTTCCACCACAGATTTGGGGAAATTGGTCCGTGCGCAAAGCATTGTGGGGATTTTAAGATGCTGAGTCTACACATATGCAGCCTCGAAATTTCTCCCTACGAAGTACGCCGGGCTCGGTAGAATTCCAAGTATCCTGGACATTGGAACAGTACTTCGGCGGGACTCGATGACGTACGTGCTACTTGGCCGTCGGCTGAAGTCTTTGCGATGTGTTCCAGTGCGACTGTTGGCCAAGACGCAGGAGACGTGAGGCGACACAGCAGTCGTGTTCCGTCGGGACGTGTTCTTTGGTGTCAGCTCGGTAGGGGCCTTAAGACGTGTGTGTTTGTGTGTTGTTCTTTGTGTCTCTTCCTGCTTCCATTAAGAGTGATTAAGGCTGTTTATAATCAATGACCACAGTCCGTCATCATGGCCTTTCTTATTACATTAATGAACCGAATGATCTCTAATAACTGTCTCATTATCAGAGTGACTCACGGTACCTGCTGAAAGAGAAGGAAAACACGTCATGTGATCTCTGACATCACCACTGTCAGAAACTGAGAACATCTGGACGATAAATCATAAGAAAACATGGTGTAAGATGTGCGTGTGTGTGTGTGTGTCTCTTGCATAACAAGTCCCCCGATGCATTATCTGTCAGATACAGTCCCTTTATGATAAGATATCACACACACACACACACACACACACACACACACACACACACACACACACACACACACACACACACACACACACACACACACACACACACACACACACACACACACACACACACACACACACACTCTCTCTTCCCCAGCAACCTAACAGAAGTGTAGTACCGCCGTTTGGCCACATCTAATATTTTCCTCTGAGTCTGGCGCACTTCACTTAAAATGCCCAATCACGTTGAGTTATTTCAAATGTATCATTTTTCATCTGTCCATCAAATATCCTAACTGCCATTTCACCTCTGGCTGCTGTGGAGACTGGATGTGTCAGCAGAGGAGAGTCGAACACTAAGTTAATACAGGTAAGTTATACACAAACAACACATTTTTAACAAAGTGAGCAGATATACTGTCATAATGTGAGCAAGCTAGGGGTCTAAATAAATATGTTTTAACTTAAATAAATATTTTTTGCCAATGTTGAACAGCTAAATATTGTTTGAATTTAGCTGCCTGGATGACCATTATTTTCCTTCAGGCCGTTCTTCTTCTTTTTTATTATATTTATTTTAACTTAATGTAGCTTACACTCTTTTCTGTGACCGTCATTCTTCAATCGGCATTATATTGATAGCATTAGCAGGCTAATCTAAATGTAATCTAGCTACTTTGGCTAGGTTTCATTGTTCGGCCAGACGTGGCGGGAAATTAAGTGCGAGTGAGAAGACTGACAGAAGCTGCGTTAATATACAGTCTCTTACAGTGCAAATAAGTAACTCAGCACGAAGGTTATTTATTAGTAGTAAGTGTACACTACAGTTGACCTGTTTCTGACTAAAAACACCAGCCACTACTCTATACTTGCAAATATTATATTGTGTAGAAGGGAGATTTCATATCTGCCTCTTGTCGCTACGGCAGTTGTGTATGTGAGACGCAGCGTCACTCACGCACTGCACGTCAGGCCTTCCCTTCCGATGATTTGATTGGTCGGAAGGGAAGGGCCAGCGAGCTTTCCTTCCAACCATTCGGTTCGTTACCGCGGTGAATTTAGTTTTAGGTTGGATATTCGACGGACATTCGCGGACCAGCCAGCAGCGTCAGTTTCCCGGACCCGCCAGCAGCGTCAGTTTAACGGGGAGATCTTCTCCGCGAAACGAGGCTTTCACTTAGGGACCATCAACAAATGACTTTTACAATTAGACAAGAAAACTGTTCTTTTTAATAAATCGACAGCTTCTCGATCGTGTGAATGTGAAGCAAATTGACTCTAGAGCATACATTTATTGAATACACCTCTTTTTATTGCATTTTAATACTTTAAATACGTTTTATTAATATGTTTGATGGAAACATTTGCTTATTTCTTCAATACCTTCCAGGTCATGTGACCTAATAACTCAAAATCAATGTTGGGTCAAAGGACTACACCGGCTGCATAGGACACACCTCTTTTTATTGCATTTTAATACTTTAAATATTTTGTATTAATATTTTGATGGAAAAATTAGCTTATTTCTTCAATACCTTCCAGGTCATGTGACCGATTCACTCAAAATCAATGTTGGGTCAAAGAACTACACTGGCTGCATAGGACACACCTCTTTTTATTGCATTTTAATACTTTAAATATTTTTATATTAATATTTTGATGGAAAAATGAGCCTATTTCTTCAATACCTTCCAGGTCATGTGACCGATTTACTCAAAATCAATGTTGGGTCAAAGAACTACACTGGCTGCATAGGACACACCTCTTTTTATTGCATTTTAATACTTTAAATATTTTATATTAATATTTTGATGGAAAAATGTGCTTATTTCTTCAATACCTTCCAGGTCATGTGACCTAATCACTCAAAATCAATGTTGGGTCAAAGGACTACACCGGCTGCATAGGACACACCTCTTTTTATTGCATTTTAATACTTTAAATATTTTTGTATTAATATTTTGATGGAAAAATGAGCTTATTTCTTCAATACCTTCCAGGTCATGTGACCGATTCACTCAAAATCAATGTTGGGTCAAAGAACTACACCGGCTGCATAGGACACACCTCTTTTTATTGCATTTTAATACTTTAAATATTTTTGTATTAATATTTTGATGGAAAAATGAGCTTATTTCTTCAATAGCTTCCAGGTCATGTGACCGATTCACTCAAAATCAATGTTGGGTCAAAGAACTACACCGGCTGCATAGGACACACCTCTTTTTATTGCATTTGAAGAAGACATTTTAGAAACCAGATCACATTGTTTGATCTAAAAATGGTGCGCTTCAAAAAAGGCAAAACAAAGAAAGCTTTAGACCTCTGGCAACAAGCAGGAGGTAGAGATTTCATCACCAGGTCTTTAATTTCTCATGGTTTTAGTGAAGTTAATGTTACAACTGAACAGTGGTCCTCAGTTACACTTACAGTGTTTAAAAGTAATAAGAAAGAGCATCTTAAGTGGTTGAGGGTCATCTGGGGTGAAGACCGACGTGGAGTCCGGACTGAGGTGCTTCAAGCAGGTACTGTTAAAAAATAACTTTGATGAGCCCCAGAGCAGAGTCCTGCCTCGGATACCCGGCGGATAACCCGCAAAATAGTTGTGTAACGGGCAAAACATACATGTAGGCCTATATCCAGGGGTGCACATAACTGGTACGCAGGTACGGCAACAATCTGAATTGCGTACGGTCACTTGTGTCACAAAGCGCATTTGCGTACCGACGTACTTGTGAAGCTTTTCCAGAAGGCGGTTAGATCACCGGACGACAGAGTCGGTCTCCGTGTGCACAGACAGGGCTGCTGTTAACGTCGGTCTGTACAACGGAACTGTGCCAAAACTACGCCAACCGGCTGCGGAGGGAGACTCCCCCCCTTCACTGGAGAACTGCGCTAAAACAGCTGATCACAACGTTCACACTCTGTGGTCACGAAGTACTCCACTAGCCCCCCCCCCCAAATTCACAACGGGTCGGGTCGTGGGTCTTATATCAACAGGTCGGGTCTAGATTTGACTTGAAGATAATTGCATGTAACGGTCGGTTCGCGGTAGCTACTGAGCTGCGAGGGTTCGGGTGGGTGCAGATTTGCAAAACTGGACCCATGCAGGACTCTGCCCCAGAGGCTTTTAAGTTGAAGCTTAACCCTTGTGAATCCCTTTTTAAAAACGTTACTTTGAAAACACTAATGACAAAAATGTCCTCATCTAAAAATACTGTAATAAAGATATTATAGGCTATGTTAATATTTTTGTTCCACTTTCAATTACTTACATATTTTTAACCAAATTCAGTGCTGATCATAATTATCAAATGTTCATTCATTTTTATTTTTGTCGCTAGGGATTTGAAAGTCACTATTTTGATTACACATACACTTATTAAGAACATGTTTTCAAAAAAACACATCTTTACCAAATGTCGTGCCATATTCTTAACACAATCAGAATGCTCGCAAAATTAAACAGTGGCATGGATAATACATTTCCTTAGGGAGGCATAAGGGTTAATGTGCTTATTTAATTAAATACTGCATCACAGTAGGATGTTAACAGAATTTACTGTAATTGACCCAAGGATGGCAGATTGCTTAAAGTTGCATTGTAGTCTTACGATAAGAGATACAGTAATTAAATGAGATTTTGTACTTTTGTAATGTTTGTATTTAGGAAAATATGTCAGTGAAAGAGGGAGAGATGGACAGCACAGTATCAAGAAACAGTGTTACAGCGCACCTACGGGTGAGGAAGACGAGGACACAAGTCAGGATGACAGGGAAATAAGTAACGCACAGCCACAGTCTGAGATAGACACAGAAGAGTCAGACCAACAAAGTACAGAGACAGCCACCGAAATGACAACAACAATGAACGGAAAGGGACAAACAGGCAAGGACAAGAAAGGGCCAGAAAAGGATAAAAAACGAAAAACAGGGACAGAGCCTGTGGGGAAAGATGAAGATAAGAATGATGAAGAAAAACAGTGTTACAGCGCACCTACGGGTGAGGAAGACGAAGACACAAGTCAGGATGACAGGGAAATAAGTAACGTACAGCCACAGTCTGAGATAGACACAGAAGAGTCAGACCAACAAAGTACAGAGACAGCCACTGAAATGACAACAACAATGAACAGAAAGTGCAAAGCAGGGCCAAAAAAGTTCAAAATTGCCATGACAAGAAAACAATGGAACAAAATTAAACCTAAACATGGCAAAAAAAAACTCCGTCCCCCCTGGACTGATACATTATATCAAGAATTTTTGAAAAATAATCCATGCTGCACACTTGCTTTCAAATACCAGCATGTTAAGACAAATGATAGCCGTAAAAAGAATTCGCCATTTTTCTGTGCCTCTGCAAAATGCACATTTAATGGATGCTGTCTACAGTTTCTCAAAAAAGAACAGGCCAAAGTCAACGGATAACAAAATTATTTTTAAAGTCATGCGCATTGGTGAAGTTATACACCATACAAATCAAAGGCGATTTAGACCAGCAAAATACACAAGAAGAGGAACAATTTCCAAAGCCTTAACCAGTGGTGTCAGTAATTATTATTACACTATGTTCAGACAGACACCAGAGGAAATAATGGCTGGTAACATAAGCAGAAGCCTCACCAAAGACGTGTTAAAGAAAATATCCTCTGAAGTGAAGAAAAGTGCAAGGCTCCACGATGACATGATGCTTGAACTCATGTTGACTCAAAAAATAATCAAAGAGAGCAGCAGTCATGCATCATCAAAAGGCTATCTTCAGCACATACAAATTGATCCGTTTGCTGTACATTTATACACAGATGCTGGAATGAAGATATTGACTGAGCACTTGAAAAAGCCAACACCTACGACTCTCTACCTTGATGCCACAGGCAGCGTGATACAGAACATTCCTGATCAAAATAAGCGGGTCTTGTATTATGCTTTGGTTTTGCCCGGAATGGGTTAGGATAAGCCTCCCTTGCCCGTCACAGAACTGATCACCAACAGCCATTCCATTCCATCTATTTCCCATTGGCTCATGGGATTGAAAAGAAAGTTGTCTTACATAACAAAAAGAAAGATAGCACAGGTTGAGACAGATTATAGTTGGGCTCTGATAAACAGTGTGCTTCTGTCTTTTAACAGGGAAAATATGTCAGTGTACCTTGACAGAGCATTTGAGATAGTGTCTGGACAAACTGAACTGATTCCTAACTTCACTGTGCTGCGTCTGTGCTCTGCTCATATCATGAAGGCTGTGTCACAAGCATTTGGGAAACAAACTGTAGACAGAGGCACACAGGAATATGCAACATTCTGTTTTGCGTACATCCTGAACTGCACAAGTCTGCAGGAAGCCCTTAATGTTTTTTATCATATGTGTGTGCTTTTTGATGCAGAGGAGTACACTCATTCGGTGAAACAGAGCTAAATGTACCTCGACGAGTGCATTTTGCAAACTCGGGACTTGAAACTGTAGGAAAGTGGACATGTAATGGGAGAGGAGGAAAGCAAAATGGAAACAAATGCTCATAGCATTATTGGAAAGTCCCCTTTTACACAAGCTTTTCAAGTCAGGCGGGACCAAGCAGAGTGTGACATTCTCTCTGACGATGCTGTTCAGGTAAAAAACCACTACCTCTGTCCTGGTGTCATTGATGCACTGTTCAAAAACTACATGGGGATCTTCCCATTGTGGAGTGGTTGGTTGCTTGGGGATCTGTCGCGACATAGAAAAGGTACCTCAAAAAAAGATGGAAGTCATAAAACCAGGGATACCAACTGCCATGTTGAGCTCTGGTTTGGGTTGGTCAAACACTCCATCCTTTTAAAAAAAAAGTACCTGAGACCAGCTGAGTTCGTCTCCAAAATGTATGCCTCAATACAAGGAAGATACGTAGAGCACATTGAGCAACACAATCTGCCAATGCATATTCTGGACAAAAACTTTGGGCATCCTAGCAGGCCAGATGATGACCACGAGGAACAGTGGAACACGCGGGAAAGTTCTGCTGGTCACACCAAGTCCAAGTCCAAGTACTTAAATCCACCAAAAGCACTACCCAACCCCAAGAGCCCACCTGCCACAAAGGTGAAGAAAAGAAAAGTGGACCAACAGGAACAAGACGCACAGGGAAATGTGAGTTTCTCTAAGACTTACTATGTTCAAAGTGTGTCAATTGTTCTCCAGCATTTTAATTGTAACAATGGAATAAGTAAATATTGTCAGAAAGTAAAGCATGGACTAAATTGGTAAAGAGTGAGGTGAAGGACAAAGGACATGAAGTATTATAACCCAAGATGATTAGGTGCATGTTGTAGGGGGAGAATATGAAGATGAAAAATGTAACAAACTTAGAACAGAAACTATATTTCCAAATCAGACTTTAAACTGCAATTACAGTTTCTGTTCCTGAGCAGCCTGTTTAATGTCATTTAGTGAAAACTCTAAAAGGGACTGAGGTTAAATGCATAAACATGGACAGTTTAATTATATTTTGTGCATGTAGCTTTGATGGTGCATATACAAAAACAAGGCCTTCACCCAAACATTCAAGATTGTTAACCCTCTGGTGTCATTCAAGTGCACTACCCTAATTAGTCATTCGGGACAAAAATGTCCAGAGTGATACCGGAGGGTTAAAAGATTCCTCAAGTGTCCATATTAAACAGACTGCATCTATTTCCCCTCAATCCTAACTTGCAGTTGACCTGGCTGTGGGAAAAAAAGGACACAGAGGTGGTCGTGGCAGTGCTCCCCTCACAGATGAAAGGACGCATGTTGCTTATCCGCCACTGTGAGCTATGCTCACTTCGACCCCACCAGTGGTTGACAGGGGAGGTACTACATGTTTCAAGTGTCTGAAGTTTCACTCTACACTGTGTTATTTTCTTTATCTAGCATTTAACGATTTCTCCCCAAAATGTCTAGATACTTTTGTCAGTCACAAGATTCTCAAAGTTGCAGGAAATGAAAGTTCAGTATAACTGGGAATATGCATTAATTGGCAAATTGTTATGATCTTTTTTGCCAGGTAATTGAAGGCGTGTTTCATGTTGCTGCCGACAAATTCGCCGTTCTGAACAAAATGTACTTGCTAAATCACTACACAGCAAGTGTCATTTTGTTCGGGGACAGAACTCAGCTAACATCTCACAGTTTACCGAAGGTAATGTGTGTGGTCTGTGTATGTTTATGTGTGTGGTGTGTTGTGTTTGTGCATGGTGATGCTGTAGGGGGAAGTAGGTGTGGATTTGATTTGTGGGCTCACACTCACACATTAGGTAGGCCTACATGGAGTGAAGCAATGGCTGAGGTCTTAAATAGGAAATTAGCTGAGATTATTTTACTTTATCCTCTCTGAAACTATACTCATTAGTTAAATCACCTGATACATCTACTTACTATTGAATTCCCATACCAACACTTGTTCTAAGCACAACAAATGAATGGCACAAGAACATCATTGTCAGACTAATGTTGTTGTTATTTTTACCTTAGCCTTCAAGTTTGTTTTAATCCTTTATTTGATGCCATTATAGGTCAACTTTGACAACTATGAAGCTGTCCTGTCCTTTGTACTTGTCAACAACAACCACTGGAAGTTGCTGGTTTGTAATTATTTTGTCATTGTATTATTTCTGTTAAAGCACAAGACTTACAGAGTGAAGCCAAACATCTTTTTTGATGAAAAGTGCTTTTACTTTTTTTGTTCTCTCACAGTACATTCATGCCAACACCAGCACCGTATTCCTGGTGGATCCAGCTCAAAGCATAAAAGAGCTTGATGACACCGAACATGCTGCCAAAAGAATACAGTCAATCAAAATTCAATAGATATTTGAAAATTCAAGTAAAAACTATATTTAAACGTAAAAAATGTGTCACATTTAGTTCCATTGATACTCACACACAGCATTGAACGCATTTTAAACAGTGTGATACAGTCTGTGTTCAGACAGTGATATCTATAGCTGGCCTCTTATATAAATAAATGGTCATATGCTGAATACAAACAGTATGAATTTCTCTTACATTATCTTTAGGAGCCACATCATTAGAAATGTAAAGTGTGTTAACATGATCCTTTCTCAGGGAGCACTTCAGGAGGACACGCCACAGCATAACAGACTGGGTGGATGTTAAGTGGAAGGGAGGCGTTATGGGCCACCCACTTCAAACGGATGGATGTAGCTGTGGTGTCGTTGTTGTGAAGGTGAGCTGAAGAGATTCTGTTTTCATCCAGTTAACAAGCAGAGTTTTTAATGTGAAAGACAGTTTAATGCAAGGGCGGATTAAAAAAGCTGTCAAAAGTAGTTGTTGACCGATAAAGGTTTTTTAAAGGCCGATGCTGATCCCCATCATATTTAGCAGGCAGGTTGGCCAATGGACAATATACAGTATATTGCCGATATCATGTTGTTGTTTATTGTATTTTTCACAACTGACAACAATTGGATTATGACACAACATTGCTGAACTTAAATTAACAGTTATTTAATACTAATGTAGTATTCACTTGAACACAGAAAGTTTAATTGACAAAACTTTGCTTCCAAATATCTCAAAACTCCAATAATAGGACCGGTCTATATCAATACTCAAAGGTTTTGGGAGGCATTCTAGTCAAGGGTGGATGTCTTCTATAATGTGTCTCATGTTTGTGTCTGTATCTGTATTACTATACAATAAAGAAGAAAACCCTCCATAACATAAGTGTTGTTTGTTTAGATGGCAAAGGCAGTCATGGAGTCCTTCCCTCTGATCCCGAATGTGAATTTCGAGTGTTCGAAGAAATACATGAAACGGGAGAGGAGAGAACTGGCTCTCGAAATCCTTGAGGCATCAGGTAAATAAATATGAATATGTGTATATATATATATGGGTGTCTGTATGTATATATATATGTATGTATGTATATGTATGTGTATATAGAAGCTGACATACATGTATTGTTATCTTGTTTCAGTCTTTGATGAGCACACTTATTGTGCTATGTGTGCTGCCTTAAGGCCTCCAGGATCTGGATCTCCCATCACAGACTGGGTGAGCTGTTGTGAAGAAAATGTGGAATTGTCATGTCTACATTTATGTATTCATTTATGTAACAGGGACAGTGCACATTAATGAACATTTCTGTAACTGTGCCAGAGTTAGCCAAGAGGCTATTTTTCATCTGTAGTCCCTGGACAGATTTTAAAAGTCAACCTCAAACACATAATTAATTTTAAACAACTAAATACAATACATTTAAAACATGCAACACACATTAATGGAATACTTAAATTAAAAAAATGTAAAAGATAGAAACAATAAAAAAAAACAAAAACAAACAATAGAGCATGTTAAAACACAGGCAGTGGGTTTTAAGGAGCAGATGATTGTGTCAGCTGATTCCTCACTAACACTTAAGTATTAAGACAACTGAATGGTAATCTAAGGTACAAATATATAAATACACTATTTCTTTCACTTCAACAGGTTCAGTGTGATGACTGTGAACGATGGTACCATGCCCAGTGCCTGGCAATGGACAGCAGAGACTTTAAAAAGGCAGAGACAGGATATTGGAATTGTCCTTTGTGCAAGTAATACTTGAAATGTGCTCAATGATGACGATTAGTAAAACATGTGTCCTGTGTAGCCTTGTTTGTATTACTTTCTGATCATTAATCACTGGGTCACATGACAGGGAAGCTCTAGAAAAAAAACCTGAATTTTTTAATATAAATATTAATATTAAATAGAGGATGTAATATTATCCGATATAAAGAGCTGTTTCTATTGTGTACAGACTTGTATTCAATTCATAAAGTGATTTTGAGTCATTAGTTATTGAAGAAATAAGCTAATTTTCACATACAATTATTAATATAAAAATATTTGGAGTATTAAAATACAATAAAAAGAGGTGTGTCCTATGCAGCCAGTGTAGTTCTTTGACCCAACATTGATTTTGAGTGATTAGGTCACATGACCTGGAAGGTATTGAAGAAATAGGCTCATTTTTCCATCAAAATATTAATATAAAATATTTGGAGTATTAAAATGCAATAAAAAGAGGTGTGTCCTATGCAGCCAGTGTAGTTCTTTGACCCAACATTGATTTTGAGTAAATCGGTCACATGACCTGGAAGGTATTGAAGAAATAGGCTCATTTTTCCATCAAAATATTAATATAAAATATTTAAAGTATTAAAATACAATAAAAAGAGGTGTGTCCTATGCAGCCAGTGTAGTTATTTGACCAAACATTGATTTTGAGTGATTAGGTCACATGACCTGGAAGGTATTGAAGAAATAGGCTCATTTTTCCATCAAAATATTAATATAAAATATTTAGAGTGTTAAAATACAATAAAAAGAGGTGTGTCCTATGCAGCCGGTGTAGTTATTTGACCCAACATTGATTTTGAGTGATTAGGTCACATGACCTGGAAGGTATTGAAGAAATAAGCTCATTTTTCCATCAAAATATTAATATAAAATATTTAAAGTATTAAAATGCAATAAAGAGAGGTGTGTTCAACAAATGCATGCTCTAGCGTGGATTTGTTTCACATTCACTCGATCGGGAAGCTGTCGATTTATTAAAAAGAAAAATGTTCTTGTGTATTTGAAAAGTCATTTGTTGATGGTCCCTAAGTGAAAGCCTCATTTCGCGGAGAAGATCTCCCCGTCGTAATACACACAGCAGCAGGGGAAACTGACGCTGCTGGCGGGTCCGCGAATGTCCGTCGAATATCCAACCTAAAACTAAATTCACCGCGGTCAAATCGTTGGAAGGGAATGACTCTGAAAAGTCTTAAGAGCTGTGTTGATCATCAGATTTAGCATGCAAAACTAGAAGTGTTCCCCCCCCCGTGGTTCTATTAAGCATATGAGCAGGGGTTACATTGACCATAGGACGATGCTCTGACGTCATCACCCTCGCAAAGTTAAAAAAAACGATATGTTAAAACTTTACTTTACAGATCTCTGTGACCGGATACAGTTTTTCAGCTTAGTGAAAGTGTGTCTGCTCCGATCAGGGGCAGGTGATGATTCAATCGTTTACAGTCAAATGTACAGCATATTGGCCATAATCTCGCAGCCCTACAAATGTACTGAGATTTCCACACAAATGTTCTTTAGCAAGTGTGCAGAGCAATTTTGATTTAAAATATAAATGTGAAGGTTGGATATTTGTAAACATTTTTGTGTATACATAAATAATTCAAGATGTAAATTAATTCCAATTTATCTATAGTACTTTCTATTTTTATTTTGTCATTTGGTGGTATCAATGTGTGCATTTGATACCGATAACGGAGCAGTTGCTTTGGGCCTCATATACATACAGCATAGCCCTTAAGGTCAAATCATGAGATCCCAAACCTCCACACAGAGCCCCCCCACATATCAAATCCCAATGTAACCCCTGCATATGAGTCAATATCAGCTTAAGATATGAAAATAAACTCCTCAGCCTCTGTATTAAATGGGGTGTAATTAGTTTAAGAATTTAATTAAATATAGAGTTTCTGTCAATAATTAATGTACATTTTAACAACTTATTAGTTTTGTATTTCACATGATGATTTGGAACCTCTTGTTTTGGAGACTCTTTTTCTGAAACATTGAATGCTTTTTTTTTCTTGTTACAGGTTTATGCAGATATTAAAAGCTGATTGCCACAGCGGGCCTCCGTGAAGCAGCTAGAATAGCTGAGTGTTCCAGCAGTGGGCTACAATGGAACATGTTACGTCAAACTTTGATTGCCGCTCATGTGGTATCACTCTGAAAACTGTTAAGAGCTATGTAGATCATCAGATTTTGCATAGACATGAAGCAAACACGTACTACCCATGTTGCTTCATAGACTGCAAACAAAAATTCATGAAGTACACTGCCTTAAAATCTCATGTATATCGTTCTCATAACAGACGTGTTTCACAGGTAGATGATTCACATAGATCATTTGTATGTGAGGATGTTAATTGTAAGAAGCAATGCACAGATTTACAAGATCTTCTTGCACACCTTAAAGTACATATGAGTAAGAATGAGTTAGTACATTGCCCATTCAACAATTGTAACAAGGCCTTCAAAGTGAAGTCGTCATTTACAGCCCATGTTTCAAGAACACACAGACATGAAAGTGATGTAAATACTAGAGTAACATACTCTGAGCCATCTGCGTCATCTCAGATTGTGCCCAATGAAAATGAAACTAGAATGGCCCAAAGGTAAAGTCAGTCTCAGGTTAGAGAGGATACTGATTTAAAGTCTTTGTATATGAGATCTCTGTGCCTGTTTTATATGCATCTACAGGCAAAGTATATTGTTCCATCCTCAACTATCCAAATCATTGTTGAGGAGATCAATAGTCTAAATGGCATTTGTCATCAGCACACAATAGACAGGATTAAAGAGACACTTCGACTGAGTACTAACATGTCAGATATTGAGATCGAGTCAGTTTTTGACAGTATTCAGGATTTAGATTTGCATGCCAGGTGTAGCATGCCCCTTTCCACTGAATATACCAGAAGGCAGTATTTAAAAAAAAACTTTGGCTATGTTCGCCCAGTTGATATTTACCTGGGAAAAGACGAACATAGAAGAGACTGTCATGCCCAATACGTACCTGTGTCAAACACGATAACGGCAATCCTGAAAGATCCTATTGTGTTGAAAGAATGTGTTGATTCTCAAACTCGTCCAGTTTCAGATGGCATCTTGAGTGATATTTCTGATGGTTCAGTCTTCAAATCCAAAGAGCTGTTTTTTCAAACAGGTGACACAATCTTAAAACTGATCTTATATCAGGATGCATTTGAGGTTGTCAACCCACT